TGAGGCCGCGATTGTTTCTTTGGAAGACATTCAGGTGGACGAGAGCATGAACTACATTGAGAGGCCTGTTTCGGTTCTGGATAGGAAGACCAAGGTTCATCGAAACAAGGAGGTGAAGTTAGTAAAGGTGAAATGGTAGCACCGAAGGGCTCCGAATGGACATGGGAGCCGGAGGATGAGATGCGAGATCACTATCCGGACTTATTTGCATCAGCAGACTTCGAGGACGAAGCCTAGTTCAAGTGGGGGAGATTTATAACGCCTGTTCCAGGTATCATTTAATTCTCTAAGTTTTTAGGGTTTTGTGTTAGGACTCGACGAGTTGGGGAGCTCCAACTCGTCGAGTAGAGATCATATATGAGGACGCGTGATTTAGATCCTACTCGATGAGTCGGAAGGCCCCGACTCGACAAGTAGGCACTGTAAAGGAAAAACCTAATTTTTAGGGGTTTGTACCCTATTTAAAGAACTTATGGCTCATTTGTAGCCTCTTTCATCGTTCTTACAGACCAGAGAGAAACCCTAGCCACATTTTGGTGCTTTCTTGAGTGTGTGTGTGAGCCTTGGAGAGTGGAACTTGTGCTTTTTAGAAGGAAACTTGAAGGTTGAAGAGATTGAAGTGAGGAGAATACTTTGGATCCGACATCTACCTGTTGTTAGCATCCATTTAGAGGTAAAAAGTTGCTACCTTGATCTCTTTTTGCTTAGATCTCATCTTATGGAAGAATATGGTCACTTTTGGTGCAAAATGGTGTCATACTCGGATTTAGACTTGTCATGAGAATATGGTTCCAGATCTGGACACCTCTAGGTCTTTCATGACATAAAGTTGCTTCCTTTACTTAGTCTAAGCCCTTTTCCATGTCCTAAGTGTTGTTTGAACCCTAGTTTTAGTGTTTTAGCCTTGGGAAGCCTTGCATGCACGTAAAGTTTGCAACTTTACGTGGTAACTACACTATAAGAGGTTGGATATGTAATTTGGAGCCTTGGATTCCACTAGAAAGGACTAAACACAAAAAGGACTGAAGGGACTCGACGAGTTGCTTAGCCAACTCGACGAGTCGGGTAGGGTTTACCCATTTTCGAGATTCTTAGTGATTTCGGTGAAGGATTAGAGTTTTCGGTCTACATGAGTTTTCGATCTTCTAGACATTAAGGAACTCGACGAGTTACTCAGGTAACTCGGTGAGTTGACGAGTTACTCAGGTAACTCGGCGAGTTGCTGGATGCACTCGACGAGTTGGGGTCAACATGGACTGTTGACTTGGACTTTGACCAGGGTTGACCAAGTTCGACTTTGAGGGTATTCATGGTATTTCGGGATTTTGACAAATTAATCGCATGATGATTATAGGCAGCCGAGTCGGAGCTGTGCGTTGGGACTTATCCGATCTTATCTTGTCAGTATTACATTCTCGAGAGGTGAATCTCCTCACCATACCAATGGGTCTAAGGCACCAAGGCCGGCCCATTATTATCATGAGTTATGTTGGTTATGGGATATATGGTATGCTAGTTATTTGTGATGCTCACATGAAGGACCTCGGGGGGGGGGGGGGGGGTTCCCGAGGCGCTTATGTGTAAGCCATTGGAGGGTTTCCATGACATTCTAGTATATTTGCATGTGTGATTTGTATATCATTTCTTGGAAGTAAAGACTGTGTGGGGGTTCCAACGGCAGGAAGACCGTGTGGGGGTTCCCACGACAAGAAGACCATGTGGGGGTTCCCACGGCATGAAGACCATGTGGGGGTTCCCATGGCAGGTAGTTAAGACTACGTGGGGGTTCCAGTGGCACTAGGTGTAAGACCCTGGAGGGTTTCCATGGCTTCCCTATATGTTTGTATGCATGGCTTATGTGGTTTATGTAGCTTTTATAGCTAATATGATTATATGATTATGTGGGTTGTGTGGGGTATGCTCTGGGGAACTCACTAAGCAGTAGATTATAGTTTGTGGATTTGTTTCAGGTATATTTGAGCCTAAGGGTAAGAGCAAGGCTTGATGACGCGGCATGCACTCTCTCTCAGGCGTTTTTATGGGACACTCCGATGTTTGGAATAATGTTGTTGATGTTATGAATTTGAAAACAAATGTACTTGAGATTTTATGGTTTATTGGAAATGTTTTTGACTATTTAAAAATGAAAATATCTTTTGAAAATTGGGTCGTTACATTCATTGTTTAACTATTAGACAATTGCAATTCAACTCTTGTACCTTTTATTAATTCTAATTAATCCAAAATCAATTCCAATTAAGTCCGATTAATTCTCAATTAATTATTACCATTTCCAATTAATATTTTAATCATATAATATATTAATAAATCATTTAATCTCTCTCTCTCTCTCTTAATATCAATCTTTGCTATTCCCTTGTTATGAGAGCTACCTAAAAAGAGCTTTACTTTTATTCTTTAAGCTTATACCAATTTAGTTAAGTCCTTAGACACCTTAATCCAACAGACTTCACATATTATCGTTGCAAGATCAATGTCAAACACATCACAGTTTATAACATGGTATTCGATCAATCACAATTATGGCAATTTCCTAAGAATCTTTTTGAAGGTTATGTCCTTTACTACCAAAGTTAGCACCTCTCTTTCTTTTTGTTTTTGCCTTCCACAAACTAAAGATTAACCATGCTCCACCATGTTAGCCTTTTCAAAAGCATAGTATAACTAGTCTTTTGAACTACCTTATTATCCTCAATTTTAGAGTTTTAGATGTGTTTTAAAACCAATAAAATCAAAACATATGTTTTTTTTTGAACGACAAACTATTCTATTCCTAAACCACTCATTAATTCAACATATGTCCATGACAAGACTTGAACCTCAACCTCAAAAAGAGAAGACAACACATGATACCACTGAGTTAGAAACTCTTTGGTAAAAATCAAAACATATGTATACTAAGTCTAGGGATGTAAAATGTTAATTTTGGAGTTTGATAGGGCTAGAAATAACTACATAGTCATTTGGTAAAAAAAATTTGTTTTTTTTACCAACTCCCAACGATAACTTCCAAATTTTGCAAAAAATTGTTTTTCCAATATCCGTTGGTTCAATTCATTAGGGCTGTTCACTATTCGGATAAAACCGAATTATCCAATTGGACAATTTGGATCGGACTATTTGGTTCGGATAATTGGATTTTTGGATTGGTTTTTAGCAAAACCGAGTTATTATTTTGGATTTTAGATTGGTTTCGGTTTATAAAATAAAAACCGAATAGTCCAAAAAACCGAATAACTATTTATCATTTGTTTATTTATATACATTGTTTTTTTAATATACTTCTCTTAATTATTTTTTAAGTGTAAATTGTTTTTTTTAATTAGATTTGAATGCATTACCCAATAAAAAACCTAAATATGTACTTCTCAAATGTTTTTATCTATAGAATATTAAATGATAACACATTTTTCTTAACGGTTTTTCATAAATTTTAATTCACAACTAAACAATTTATTTTTGTTTAAAGTTCTCTAACATTCAAGTTTTATAAGTTTTAAATGTTATGCCTCTTGAAAACCGAATTGTAAAAACCGATCCAACCGAATTGTAATTTGGTTGGTTCGGATCGGATTTGAATTTAGTTTGGATTGTTCGGATCCATGTTTTGAAAACCGAAATCCATTTGGATTCACTTGTTTGGATCGGATTGAACCGATCCATCCAAACGAACACCCCTACAATTCATAATGAATCCTATCCATATCCACCGCATTAAATATAACCGTCCCTGAATACCTTCAAACAGATTAGTGGCCAATCCGGATTCCGGATGAGACGTGCACCTCTACTCTCGATTTTCAAATATAATAAATAATGTTAAAGATTTAAAGTTTAAAAATATATGTTAATGTTCTAAGTAATATAAGAATTAAAAATACATTATATCACCAAAAATTATACATATCAAAGTATTCAAATTTAAACGATTTATATTGAAATAACAAAATCGAAAGTTAACAATGGAATACTTTCATCATGAATATCAATCAATATTTATCACTTAATTAGTGAGTTGTATTAATAGAAGAATTATGTATGTTTTATTTTCATTTTGAAGTAATCAATAAAAAAAAGGGTTGGCTAAAAAGACACCTCATTTTTCCATATGGACACCCTATTTGATTTTTTATGAATTGAATAAAAAAGACACCTCATTTTTCCATATGAACACCCTATTTGACGTAATCAATAAAAAATGGGCCGGCTAAAAAGAGACCTCATTTTCCCATATACCCAAACGGTTTTGTACCTACATCAACTTAAAAATAATAATAATGAATCAACACATACGTACACATATATAAATTAGACAAGTATATAAACTTATAAAAGTGTTTAACTATTAGTTAAACAACCGTTACGTTATAAATTTAACAATAATGAGATTACTAAAATATTTTATGAATCGAATATTGATTTTATAACTTTTTTGAACTTCTTAATTGGATTGTATGTATTTGTATGCTCTTAGTTGATAACGATTATGAAAAATAAATGGAGTGTGTATAAGTATGAGCATCTGGATTGTCGAGTGTGAATAAAAGTTATTTTGTAGAACACGATCTAAACCTATCCATGAAATGAAATTCGACTAAATACGTTAGCTATGTTAGCTATATGTCATAAGCCCATAGACCCTATGTTGTTGAATGGTTCGCGAACCATGCGTGGCTATTTAACTGTGGTTCGCGGACCATTTTTAGTAACAAAGATAAATAAAGATAAACTAAACAAAATTGAACAGACTAAACATACGGATCAAAAAACCAAAAGTCTTTTCACAACACACCCAACGTTTTTAAAAAAAAAAAAGAGTAAGCAAACAAGGAAGAATATAATTGTCTTTTTAACGAAGGGTAAAAGAAGTGGAATTACTTACTTAGGCTTAGGTTTTTAAAGGAAAGCGACCAGCTCGTATCTCCTCAAACGAATACTCAACAGCATGTGGAGCAAAAGGTGTTGAATTAGGGGTAGTACTAGTCATGCCTATTTTCATTAAGGATGATGTTGACGATGGAGTTGTGGGTAAAGTCATTGTGTTTGTTGGGGTTTTTTATATTATTGGTGGATAAAGATGAAAGAACAGGAGAAAGAGGTTTTCTAGGTGGTGGTGTTGTTGTTTGGGTTTGGGTTTCTTGTTGATTTGTAGGTGCTTTTACATTTGAACTGCTCCTCAAGTTACTCTTCCCTGAAAACAACAATTTGAGTTATATTCTTATATATTGTTAAAGGGTCAGTCACATGAGTATAACTAAAAACTTGTTTTTAGCATCACTAACACCAGTGTGGTAAGAATTACCAGGGTGGATTTTTGCATGACCACCACTGTGGTAAGAGTAATGCAAATTGTGAGCATTTGAAGAAGAAGAAGAAGAAGAGGAAAAAGTGCGATTAAGCTTTGGAGTTTTAAGCATTGAGCCAACAACTGAATATTGTCTATCGGTAGAACTACAACTCATCATACTTGCTGCTTTAATAAGCTTTTTTCCACTCTTTATTGGACTTGGCTTTGACCCAAAACGTGCTTCTTGCTCAGCTATCAATTGTCCTTGAAGTTTCTTCTGTTCCTAGTTTCAAAAAATAATAAAGTTGATTAGATAACAAAAAGGACATGAGAAATCTATGGGGATTTTTCGTTTTTTACCCTTTGCTTTTGACGTTCTTGTTCCTTTTCATGCTTTTGGATGTTGTAATCATCCAGCATTGAGAGTAAAAAAACCTGTGATCATGAATACAATGTAAAAATAGATGATGACAACATGGAACAGGCTATAGTGTGTTTGTGTTTGTGATTGGTGCATTGGGCTTGCATTGGACTGATGTAATGAGACAAAAAAATTACAACTTTTTGTTCCATTGAAAAAAGTGAATGTGGGCGGGACTCATTCAAAAAGACATAAATACCCTTCTAATCCTCAACATAAAAAATAAGGAACCCGTGGGACAAGGAACACTCGAAAAGACATAAATACCCTTATAATTTTGATCATTAAAAATAGCCCTAGAAAATTTTATAAAATATTGACCGAAGTTGGGACAGAGACTTTCTCGAAAAGACATAAATACCCTTATAATTTTATCATAAAAGATAGCCCTAGAAAATTCCAAAAATATTGTTCGGAATCAACCAATATCAACTAGACAAAAAATTCAAATTTTTGTCAAAGCAAAAAAATGCCAGTGTGGAACACAGACGCACTCAAAAAGACGTAAATACCCTTCTAACTCTTATCGTATAAAATAGCTTACCAGTCAAACATAATCAAGTCCCATGTAACAAATGCAAACTAACAATTGAAGAACAAGTGCTTACGCCATCGTAAGAAAATGCAACTCCTCTTTTTTGCTCCCATGATTTGGCTTTCTCACGCAGTGTTTCAACCATAGCTGTTTTATTCATATTATTAAATAAAGAAGGACAAAAACAAGTCAATAAAAGTCAAAACCCTAGTCTACTTTGTAATACATCAAATAAATTTTCGTTTGAGACACAATTTATTATTTTTGACTATCTTTAAATAATGACAAAATAAAAGAAACTCATCCATAGGTTTCTAATTTGATGACTTGTATTTATTGCGGATGAATTAAAATCATCATGTTTACTAGTAAAATAATATAATTTTTTAACATAATTAATAAAATACAAGAGAATAAGAATCTAGTATTGATTTATAATTAAGAGTCATACCAGGAATTTTATGAACCAAAGCTCGGGCTTTCTCAGCACGTTTTAAAAGGAGATGGGTACCTCTTCCATAATTATAACGGTTGTGATCCTATAGTGCCACAATTATTGAACACAAGAAGCATCATGGATAAAGAACAAATTGCAAGAAACAGCACAATATACCCAATTCACTTTGATTTTTTTTTTTTTTACCTATAACAACAATTAATAGCAACATACTTACAATTCCATACTCACAATGCTATTAATGGTAAAAAAGAGTTCAATATTATGGGTTAAAAAGGTACATTGCTATTATCTTAAAGAAATGTAACTGCATTGCTATCATGGGTAAAAGATAAAGTACATATATATTATCAGCAAAGAAATGTAATTACATTGTTGTTATGTGTAAAACTGAAGTACATTGCTATTATTAGTAAGGATATGTGTTATTATTGGTAAATAATAAAGTAGATTACCCATATTGGCAGCAAGAGTAAAGTAGGTTGCTACTTATCACAATTTTTCCAATGGAGAAAAGTAAAATAAAATGAGAAGTTGAAAACATACCCTGTTGTACTCTTCTAGCCAGGTTTCCTCTTCACATGCAGCTAACCATTTATCAATCTTTTCAAGTATGTCTTTTCTAGCTGAAGCTTCCTCCTTCACCTTTGACATTTGAAGGTCTATTTGTTCTAACAAATACAAAGGGTCAACTGCACCTACAAAAAATAGAAACTTACTTTATTCTTTTTACCAAGATATGCAAGCATACTTTAATATTTAGCCATAATAGTATTGTCTGTACTTATCCTCTTTTACCCATAATAGTAACATACCTGCATTATGTTACCAATAATACCAACATACTTACATTTTATTTAATTTAATCATAATAGGTACACAAATGAAAGAAAAAAGTAACATAAATTTCAGTTTTCATGATAAAAATTGAGATTTTTACCAGATTCTAAGGTTTCAACAGAAAAATCGATTGCTTCATGCATTACAACAGTCATGTGAGCCTCTTTGCATATTTGCTCCAAGTCTGCCTTCCTTTTCAGGAGTACTTCCATTATCATGCTTGCTTTCATTTTTTGCAGCTTGAAAATCTCTGACTCAATCTTGAAAAAAAAAAACACAGTATCATAATATATCAACAAATTGAATTATGTAATATAATTAGTTAATTACTATAGATATATTTCCTCCGATTAAATTTACTCACGAATTTAATGGACTCTAAAGAGAGAGCATTGGGTTCTGTGACTTCATTCTCTGAAGCACCTATATAACGTATGACATTTTGGAATCGTTTTTGCTCTTCATTTGATATGTCCATTAAATTCCAGAGCCCCACCATGGTTGTTGCAAGATCTTGAACCTGGAAGCAGTTAGAGAATTGGGTTAGATGCAGGAAATAGCAATGTACTTTCATCGATTTGTTTGATATAGCATCTTACTTTTATTTCTTCCTATTACAACATGCTACTTTGAAAAATTGACATATTATGGAAATGTAATCCAAATACAAAGAAACTAAAAGTAAGATGCTGTGATACACAAGTAAATGAAAGTGAATTGTTGTTTCTTGCATTTAGCATTAGAGAATATGAACAGAAACAAGTTGTTGATAGTAATGGAAAAGTATTTCAATTTGAGCAAAGCACTAACCTTTTTCAATCTCTTTGACTTGTCCTCATTCAACCTACAAACTGCATTAGACAACTTCTCCATTGTATCATCAGTTATGCTCTTTTTGCTTCCTGGATTTTCCAAAGTGGGATGAATCCCATTAATTTTAATTTTGAAATCCATCCCAAGAACTCCACAAAGTGAATGAATAGTAGTTAAATGGTCCAACACTTGCTTCAAACGATCACTCTGTATTAAAAAAAAAACAAGTTATGTAAATTATGCTTTCTCAGCTGTCAATTTATTTAAAATTTCTCTTATTTTGGATCATACCTTTTCCTTCTCCAATGCATGTAATTCAATCTTGAGTTCTTCCAGTCTTGACAAGGACAAATCAGATTCATCAAGAATCGGGATACATGATTTGTCCTTCGTGGATGTGAATAGTTCCTTTGATAAACTTTGTATTTGATCCAAAATTTCTGTGAACTGAACCTTCCTCTCATTTTTCTTCTTCTGCATCATTTCCACTTGTGGAAAAATGTCTGCAAGTTCTTTTATCAAACTACCTGGCTCAATCTGTACATGTTAAACATACCAAGGAACGCTTTTGTTAATTATAAATCATGATTGATGAAATAGAAAAGGTCAAAAGGATGGATGTATGCTAAGATTACTAACCTGTATAATAGGTAAAGATCGGTCTCCTAATGAAGCACATATAGAAGCAAGTTCTGCTTGTGAGTTAGCAATAGCTTGTCTTAGTTGAGCTCTAAAACGGTTTGCCTGATCTACTTTTCTTCGATATGCATCCAAACATTCTTGTTCCAATTCAAGAAGCATTTTGTCTCTGTTTTTTTCAGGCTCTCCCACTTCATCCCATATTTTCTAGTCCAAGAGACAAGTGATGAGATGTTGTCTTTAAAATTACTATGAATATAACAGGTTGTAGTGAAGATATTGCATAAAAATGGTCAGAAGATAAGGAAATATTAATTAAACCTGCAACTCTTTTATGAGAGAAACACATGTTGTCTCCATTGGATTTGCTGATGAATAAGAAAATTTCACTGATCAGTTGACAGATATAATAATTTGACTAATAATAATAATTTTGAATAGCACATGAAACTTGACAAAGATATACATACAACAGGGTATTATAAACAATCACATCTTCTAATCTGACATTCCCAATCAAATGGATGAACCATAAATTTGTTGAAATTGGATTTATAAACAATGACATTTTCCAAGGAGGATATGTTAAGAGATAATGGTCCACACTCCACAATTCCAAAATAACATGAAAGAGGTTGGTCATAACCAATTTACTTCATATCATCAGAAGTCATGAAATGAGTTATATACAGCTTAAATAGCAAGAAGAAAGAGCATTTGATGTAAAACATTTCCCTGATTCTGCATTTCCAACCAAATAACTTTTTAATCTACTTGTTCACCAAAAAGAAAAGCATAACATTACAGCCGAGGAGGGTTGTCTACCTGCAGAGGAGAATTCAACCACATATCATGCAAAAAAAAATGTTACCTTTACCGATAGACCACAAGGCGTGGGAGAAAACAAAGTCCAGCTGGGCATGGATGGATCAATCTTATAACTTATAGAAACAGATACTACACTTGTGCTTTAGCCAAAACACAGAGAAAAGTACCAGATATTAAATGATGAAACTACTCTTTAGGTACCAAATTGCATCACTGTTGATTTAGATATAGAAACATATGTGAATATTACATCTTCACTTAATTTTTTGCACTTAAACACTAAACAGACAGTTAACTACAATTCTGTACACATTTCTTAAATTATTTTTTCTCCTGAATCAAACTGAAACCTTGCTTGCCCTAAGTTGATAACAAAATCAATTTCGATTCATATTAATATTTGTGCAAATTTACTTGTCCAAACAGCAGTTGAATTATCAAATTTTACGTTCTGAGCCAAGGTTACACCAGACAAACTTTCAAACATACATCGATTAAATGTCAAATTCCAAACTGACACAGGTCAGTTAACTCTTTACCACTACATGAAGAACGATACTGTATGATTAACAACATTCATCTCCGTTCTGAATGCGATTAACAAAATGAATTTCGATTTTTTTTCTATATTTGTGCGATTTACTTGTCAAAAAAGGAAAAAAAATTTACTAGCTCTACTTTCTGATCGAAGTTAATAGCAGATCAACTTTCACATATGCAAAACATTGAGTAAAATTCCAAATTCCAGATGACATTATTTGAACTCTATAACTGCTACAACATGTCGTAATATGTAATTAGTAACAGCATTCTCTCGATTATGAATGTTATTGATAGAAGATTAACTTCACTCGCGATTCAATCAAAGAAACAGACGTGATCGATTGACAGACTTACTGAATCAAACCTCCGATTCTTTCTAAGCCGCTAAAATAGTTTTTCCACCGGTACTCGAAGCTTTCTCCGGTGACCGATGAGATTATTCCGGTGAGTGGCGAATTGTAGAATCAAGCGTGATACGAACGAAAACTGGCAACAGATCAGATGATCGTTTGTGTTTATAGAAAGAGCGCAAAGTTAGCGGGGGTTTCAGTCGTTATACTTCCTTTCCTTCTGTGTTTGAGTTTTTGAATTAATTACTAAAAGTAAAATGAAGTTAAGAATAAATTGAAAACGGTCCTTATACTATTGACTAACTTAATAACTTAGTCCCTTAAGTTATCAATCTTTCTGTGTATCGACATATCGTACATCATTGAAATGTTTACACCATTTCAACTTCACTCACCCGAGAATTTGGCGATTCAATGGTGGTTCATGGATGCAGCAACGTCAAGACAATTTTGGTTGTACGTAATTGAAATTATATCAATTTATATATTTTTTTTTCTTAAATGAAGACATTTGTTACGGTTATCGCAAAGTCTTCTTAACTCAAGACATTTAGCAAATCGCAAGTGATTAGTACCTTAATTCACGAGACGCTTGATGCTTGAGGCAAGAAACGTCGCTTCGATCTTTTGCTTCGGTGATACCTGAAATAATTTCGGGTGGGACTTGAGAAGACACTCTGATGATAAATTCAGTATTCCGTAGGAGGGAATGATGAGAACTCGAGCTAGACCTGACAAAACATGACACGAAACGAAAACCTGACACGAAATTAGCGGGTTAGGGTCAGAGATTTCGACACGTTTATGTAAACGGGTTGACACGGCACGACACGATAATTAAACGGGTAGGGTTAGAGTCAAGACTTTCAACTCGAAGATGACTCGAATATGACCCGTTTACTTATATATTATTTATTATAAATTTTATATTTTTATAAATATATTATATGTTATAGACTTATAGTGGGTCAAACTCAAGAATTAGAAGTAATATTCAAAATTTTAAAGTTACTTAATTTTAGTCATCCTCACCACCTATCACTTTGCTCCCTAACTTTAACTCTTTTCATTTTCCCTTCTAAACTTACTATAAATTTTGTCATTCCATCTCATAACTCCAGTGTTTCATTTTTTCCTCTTTGCCTCCACAACTCCTACTTTCCGACATTTAAAATATTTCAATCCGACATGACACAACATATTTACAAGGTCTAAACCTTAACCCGAAACCCAACACGAAAATAAACGGGTTGACACGACACGACACGATAATTAAACGGGTCGGGTTAGGGTCAAGTCCTTTCAACCTGTTTAATGTCTTGACCCGACACGACACGACACGTTTTCCAGGTCTAACTTAGAATTTGTGTATCCTAATCCGCGGATGTAACTTTGACTATTTATAAGATATGAGTTACCTTTTATCTTTGATTGTTTGGAGAGTATGTCTAGCAATGTGAATAAGGATAACCTTCTAAATAAATCCAACCTAAAATTCTTCTTGATATACGTAACATAAATTTGGATCAACACACATTATATATATATATATATATATATATATATATATATATATATATATATATATATATATATATATATATATATATATGAGTGACACGTACTACGATATAATGCATTGTGATGTAATGTGTATATACAAGGAATATAAATATATGTGTGTGTAACGTCTGGTTCCTAGTATGCATTTAACTTATTTATTTATTCATTTTAAGAGAGGGACTCGACGAGTTGGTGGCACTAACTCGTCGAGTAGAAGACAGATTATGCGCGGGGTTTAAGCTATCTAGTCGACGAGTCAAGAGCCCTCGACTCGGCGAGTAGATCGGCTAGAATGAAACCCTAATTTCGGGGTTTTGCACCCTATTTAAGCTCCTTAACCCCCACCCCTTAGCCTCATTTACAACCTCCTTGTCCCAAACCCTAATCCACGAAACCCTAAAGCATCTTGTGAGTGTGTGAGCCATTTGTAAGCAATCTTTTGTGTTCTTGAAGCTTGAAGAGGAAGAAGGAGTTAGAAGGCTCAAGAGGAAGAGAGTAGATCTAGAAACTACACTTCCTTGGCTACATTTTCTGGTAATCAAATTTCTATCTTGACCTCTAGTTCATTAGATCTCTTCCTTCCCATTTTATGAAGGTTTTGGCTAACGAATGATAACCTCTGGAGAATGGACGACCCAAGTGGATAATCTTCCAGATCTAGGACCTAGAGGGGCTGTTATGACATAAAAGTTCAAATTTTATGCCATTGGAGCCCCCATGCAAGCCATAGAGTATCATATTGGCCTTTTTAGCCCCAAAGGCCATGCATGTGGAGAAAACGTGGGAACTTTACGTGCCTAAGTAGTGTTAGGGGTTTAGATATGAGGTTGTAAGCTTTAGTTTGGTGTAAGGAAGGCTTAAGGACCAAGTTCTAGGTCCCAAGGAATTAGGGTTTGAGCTAAACCCTTTAAGAAGTGGTATTAAGGGGTAAAATCAGAAACTTTACCCTTAAAAGGACATTTTTTGGGTTTATGTGAAGTATGAAGTCTGGATCTGGAGTATAGGGGTTGAATCCATTAAGATAGCCCAAACAGACAGGGGAACTCGGTGAGTCCAGTAAGGGACTCGACGAGTTGAAGTTGGGTTGTCCCGATTGTATGCCAGGTAGAACTCGACGAGTCTGTGAAGAGACTCGGCACGTTGACTCGGTTGACCACGAGTCTAAGTAGTACAGGAACTCGCCGAGTTGCGTTGACTGGGAGTTGACCTTGACTTTGACTTTGACCAGGATGTTGGCTTTGACCAGGGGTAAAATGGTCATTTTACCCTAAGAAGGATTATCAGGTTTTGATTAAGTGTTATTGTGAAATTGATAGCCGGGGAGTCGTTGGAGCAGCCGTCAAAGATTCCTCACACGAGATTTCACAGCTAGCATTCGAGGTGAGTTTCCTCCAGTAGGAACGGGTTTAAGGCACCAAGGCCGGCCTGTTTAGTTAGTAGTAGTTTCGGACTACAGTCCGATGCCGGGCAGGGCCCGATGTAGGTTTATATGCTTTTCCGGATTGCCTTTAATCCTAGGGTAGGATCTCTCATTCGAAGAATTATCTAGTCTTAGTGATATGTAATAGAATTCACGAGATAGTTAGGGGGAGATAGCAGGGACTTCTTATGCAGCTGATGACAGAGAGTGGGTTGGAGAGTACCCTAGGGCAAGCCTAGGATGAGATTAGCATGCGATCAGCAATAGTAGTAGAAGGGACTTGGTGGAATCGAGGCAGCTCTTGAGGAAAGTACAGATAGATGTGGAAGGTAGTATGGGCCCGTACTACTGAAAGCAGAGGATTCGTACTCGAATCAAGGAAGGCTGAGATGAACCCAGGAAACTTGTAGTATGTGAGATCCCTCGAGATATGATGAGTATAATGATGTTTATTATGGTGTATTTTCAGTATGGTGACGCTACGCACTAGGCCGGTTGGCACTTCAGGCACTGGTGAGGGATCAGGCTCGGGCTCTGGAGCCGAGCAGATGGATGAGAAGACGAGGGAGTTTATCTCGTATGAGATCATGCGCAAAATTTTAGAGCAGACTCCTGTGATCTTTGGTTCGGTCAAGGAGGGTATTATGGAGCTTATG